CACTCTCTCACTCTCTCTCACTCTCTCTCACTCTCTCACTCTCTCTCTCTCTCTGTCTCTCTCTGTTGTTCTGTTGATAGCTGTGCAAAAAGAAGTGGCATGAGCAGTTGATGGACTCGACTCGACCGACTCCCCGGACCCCCGGACCCCCGGAACGGTGCCGCCGTGTGGCTCGTAGGTGGCATTTCCCACACGTGCCAGCCACAGCCTTGGACACGTGTGGCACGGTAAGCCGCGCGGTTCCGTGGACCCGGCGTGGACGGCGTGGACCATGTGGCGCTGCCCAAGGTCGGTCGTGCTTTAGATGTTGTGAAGCGTCAGTGGCGCAGCACTATGCTTCTTGGTAGATCAGTCTTGTATGATCAACATGGCAGTCATGCAAACGAAACTTGCGACCAGAAGTGTCCGAGACATTGTCATGCGGCAAGGAGCTCAAAGAAACCAACCTCTCTACGATCTGGTGGGTCAATATCCCATAAGAAAGATCCAAACCACCAGAATGTACCAGAAGGATCCAGAAGGTTCTATGAATCCTCCGGATTCCAACCGTTTCTCGGATCCAACCTTTCCCAGTTCCCTTGGCCCAGTTCCAGCAGTTCGCAACAATTCTCGCAAGATGGTCCAAAATCCAAGGAACAGAAAGCACCAAATGGGATCGCCCGCCGGTTCACTCCATGAGCCCGTATACCAGGGCTGATACCTCGGAGGTCTAGGTCTAGCCAGGCAACTGGGCGAGCCATGGCCAGGCCGACAAGGTTTCAGAGGGCTGGGGAGGGCAAGGATCAGTCTGACCAAGTCAAGTTGAAGGAAGGCTGAGTTTGAGGTGCCAGGGAGGTCCATCCTCTTCTTCTTTTGTAGGGTGTTCGGACCCAAAGATATCCAAAGATGGCAAGGTAGACTTGCAAAAGGCATTGGTGCTCCATGTTTGTGAGGGAACCTCTAGAGAGTCACCAAGCTGACAACCGAGTTGTTTGGTCCTGGTGTGGCCTTACACTCAGGTAAAACTTGTTGCATTTTGACGCCAAGAAGATCATTTCATTGAAGAGAGTTGAGATAGCTCCTCCAAGGGAGCTGAGATAGCTAGCTGAGATGGCGTCATTTGATTTATGAATCCCCAGCTCACTCTCGCTCACTCTGTCGAAACCTTCAAAAAAAACATGCGTTTGATCAAAATTAAAGAACCAAACAAAGGTATCATCCGCTTTTGACTGCGGATGGCCGTCACATCGCGTAACTGCCCAGATTCCATCCACCAAATCCGGTGGCGGTGGCCGTTCGGGTGGCTGCCTTGGGAGGCTCGTGCAGGGCCGAGAGGTTTGGGCCTCGTCTCCCGTTTGGGGTGCCGTATCTCACCCGAACATGGCACCCACCCCACACCTTCGAAACGAAGGTACGACTGGAGGTCTGTATGGGTCTGTATTTTGAAGAGCAACCTCAACAGTCTACCCAAATGGGTAGACGGTAGACTTGACCCATTGGTTGGCTTGGGCACGTTTTCAGATTTGTGTCACGTGTGTATTTTTGATAGCGAAAAAAAGGTCGACCATTCCTTTATATCATGGTCTTCAAAGGCTATAAAGGAGACACCTCTAGCCACCTTATAGGAATGGGCAGCTATAGCCACCTAGGTGCTATAATGGTCTTCCAGGGCATATGTTTGAAAAAGGGAGACACCCCTATATATATAGGCCCTGGAATGGGCAGCTTCGGCCTGTTCTGAACCGAACCCACAGGGGTCGTTGCCTGGGAGGTCTCCTCTTGGTCTCTTGGAGCGGATGGAAGGAACCATGGATGTGGTGAACCAAAAAGAAGGAAACCACCAATCCCCAAAAAGGAGGAAACAACATGAAGCAACATAAAAACAAACCCCACCCATATGTTTTTTTTTTCAAGAAGGAATCTGATCGTTTTGAGCATTTTTCCGCGTTCATGGTGTCTTTTGCCTTTCATTTGTTTGCTCTCTTGTGCCTCCTATAGGACCCTTCTATAAAGTACTTCTTCGCCCCAGCGGCATCGTAGGTGGCCCAGCGGAGGCTCTCCAGGGACCCGGCCGTGACATGGTTTCCTGGCGGCCAACCAGTGCGGACGGGGCTTTGGATGTGGTTATTATAGCTTTGGATGGATGACGGAACTCTGGATTGCAGCTGGATTTATATATTGTTTTTTTTAATACACTGCAAGTCAGCTACTGTCCCGCAGTGCTTTTGACGAATATTCCAAGCACATGCTGTGGAGAGCGTGGAACGAAGCGTCAGGCATCCCACAGTCCCTCCATTTCGCACCTCTTGATGTGTCTGGACCAATCAGTTTACACATTACAAAATTGCAAATCTTCCCACCAAGTGGTGTCATTGTCCTTATACTTGCTAATCTAAATCTGTTCGAACGTGCCCCGCTTCCCCAGAGCATTCGCCCTCGCGATCCCTCGATACGTCTTCCTTCGCCGTCGTCTTCGCCGTCTAACGCCACGCGGGGGGCGACGTCCGCCCGACGGACGCGGTTCGCAGACGTCTTCGCCGCTCCATATTGCAAGGTCACGCCGGCCAAATTGCCTGGGAACGCCCGGAACGAGGGATTGAGCATGGGTAAATGCGGCTGGAAGTAAATCAGCATGGTGGCCAGTTTCTGTGTTCTTGGACGAGGGAAGCGTTCTTGGGTGGAGGTAACACACTCCATTTGTTTGAAGCTTTTGGTGGTCATGTATCTTTCACTACTGGGGTCTTTTTGGTGTACATGGCGGTTTGGATGTGTTGATTTAGGTCCCACAAATCACACCCTTCAGCTTAGTAGCCATCCCAGGGTATAGAACCTTATATAGCTAGATCTTCCAACTGTTCAACCCGTTTGCCTTCTCATCTGTTACAAAAACAGCCAAGTGCGGCCAACATGTTGCACAGTTGGAAGATCTAGGTAGCCGCATTGAGAGACATGATTGGATTCCAAGTTACAACCTCAATGTTTTAGGCCTTACCAAGAAGTTCCAGGAAGCCTGAAACGGCTTTTCTTTGAGCCTAACTGGGGCCTCCCTATTTTGCTAAATATGTCAAATGATATTTGATGTAATCATTGATTATAGAATATACTCCCTACTATCAAACTAATCAATTATTCTGGCGATAGACTATAGATATATCATAACATCATATATCTACCTTCCCTGAGATGAAAGACTTCTGCACCCCGGGTGTCTTCCATGATTTGACCATCTGTCGACGAAACGGTCGGTCCAAACTGTCGGTTGAAGTGACTGATCTCGTCCACCTCTTCGATGCCTGTGGTTGGCCTCACGAGAGAAACAACCAAAAAGGTACCGGCCCCGGCCCCGCTTCCAATACAAAAGCATTTACCCCCCCCTTCCCCCTTCCAATACTCACCCACCCAATGTATATGTTTTTACCGCAAATTACAGTGTTTTAGTGATATACCCGGGAAAAAGGACCACATGGAACCTGAGGCCATGGACCAGACTGGAAGACACTTTTCCTCTACAAACCGGGCGTGGTGAACTCGGGTTCCGTGTGAATCGTACTCTTGGGCGTAGAACATCTCCGATCATCTCTGGGTGAATTTTTTTGGGGTATGTAAACCAATTCGGTATAGGTGTTCCGAAAGGAGCAAATGGAAGATTCAAAATGGAGAGATGTCTCCAATTTCTCCTCTCCAAAATGGCCCAAGCACTCTCTAGAACACTACAAGCACCCAATACTGCCGTAGCTCTTGAACTTGATTGGCTTGATTGGCTTTCGCAACTTGCAGATCAACCAACACTTGAAAAACAAAAAAACACAATCCAAATCCAATCAGCACCTCATCTCTCACCTCATGTCATCTCACCACAAAAGTCATCCCCACGTCATCCTGCCCCTTTTTCACGGCACTGCTACGCTGCTACACTGCACTGGCCTTGGAATCGGCTGACATTGGCACCAGCACAAGCGTCCCAGGAGTGACGGGCCATCCGGGTCGGTGGTCAGCGCCAAAATCTGCTGCACCGCCGCGTCTGGTCCGTCAGCGTTCGGGAGAGGTGCGGTAGGCCGGTGGCACCGTGCAAAGAATGGGACAAAGAATGGGCAAAGAATGGGACACGTGGAATCACGATACACATCATTTAAATGTATGTGCCCATGGGTGAAAAGAAACCTGTTCAAAACCATGAAATCATCATGGGTTTAAACGGTTTAAACGATGTTTGTACTAAAAACCTGTTTAAACCCATGGTTTTTGAACCTTGCAGGTCTGCTCGAACATGTGGCACATCCATATATGGATTGCAGGTCAGTTCCCCAAACAGGACGAGAAGTGGTGACCTCTTTAGACCAACCGTCCCAGTTGGCAGTGGCCAAGACGAAGCGGGAGTTGAGCCAATGAAGTCGCTCGAAGGTCAAGGTCAATGTATGATATGTATTAGTTTTAAGAAAATGACCTAGATCAACATACTTCTGAGTGTGAACATAACATCGACCTATACACATCAATATATGTCTGAGGATGATATATGAACGTGAAAACACACATTATATCAATGAACATATTTCTGAGCATATAAAAATGGATCTAACTTCTACTCCCCAGCCAACACTAGGATGCAACATGATGAACCAAAAATTGCCAAAATGGACTGAAGATGGCTCACAACACCATCGATCACCCCGTGTATTCGAGGCCTCGATCATAAGTCTTCAGACAGCAGCAGGCAGTCGCGGCTGGAGGGCAGCAGCCAGCAAGCGCCATGGCTCTAAAGAAGAGGTTCGGGATGGAAAATTGGAATAGCCAGTGAAGTTCTCATCACTGTAATCAACTCATAATGAAAACATATTTTTGGTTTGGAAGTTCTCCCCTAAAAAGGCGTCTCATGCTATCACCTCTTACAACCCTGGTAGCATCTGCAAAACTACCTGACTATGCCTGACAGCACCATGCGATGCTCAATCCATCCATGTGATGCTCATGTCTTTGAAGAGCCAGTGAAGGCCTCCCTCACCACTGAAGGTACAGCTATGCAGCCATCGATGGTTCCAGGTTCGGTTGGCCCGAGTGCCATCTGTGAGGGCTTTCAAGAGAAATAGAAGCAAATACTGTAGAACCCATAACAGATTCCAATGTCTGCCACGAGTTATGTCTAGTCACTCTATCTCTGACCAACGAGACACCGCCATCATACATTCCGATGTCATGCGATTTCTACCACATTCAATATCCGATCTGTTGGAACATTAGAGATCGTTAGAGATAGAGGAGATATCAATGATATCAAGAGATTATATTCCAAACCTGTCTCTATGACCCGCCAAGTTAGTGTGTTGACCACAAACAAGGGACTTCTCCCTAAGTAACATGACATTTCAGCATTGCTTGGCGCAAAGTCACGTCATACCCAACTGGTACCTGGGAATTGACATAAGTAGCGAGACACTTCATTCACAGCATCCAGGACTGAAAAAAACAAACATTCACAGCAGAAACCCTGGAGCGAACCTCCCTCACGGTAGCAACGCACCGGACAATTTGCTTCTCATAATTCATCATATCCGCTCCATAGCTGTTCAGGTCTTCCACCAATTTTCCACCATCTTCTCATCCCCCACCTGTATCATATACCCCATATCCAGCATGCGATCGGAGTTCTGGTCTCCGGGATCCTATCGATCGGAATCGGAGTTCTGCTCGTCTTTTTTGACCACTTTGTCGCGATCGAAGCTCAGTAGGGCACATTCCTCACGTAGATCGATGACCTGCGGGGAAGAGTGATCTCCACCGGGAGATGACACGACCAAACGGGAGAGAGGTCTGTGGTCGAGTGGAGCAAGTGCGGTAGTTTAGGCTGCCCTATAGACAATCAAGCACTTTGTGGACACAGCCTTCCTGTTAGGACAGCCTGTGCGGTGTTGAGGCTTCCTGTGCTTGATTGTCTACAGCACTGTTGTCTTCATGATCTTGGCAAACAATCAGCTGAGCCTTCCTGTTCCATCCAAAAAGCCTGCCTTTGGATCCAAAATGCAAAAAAGATCAAACATGAGAAATGAGTAATGTTGCTCTTCCGACGTGAGAAAACGTATCATTACTCCTTCCATGTCCTGGGGTTGTTGCAGTCCTGTTGCGGCGCGAAAACTTCCCTCCCTCCACCGGAATGGGGGGGGTCACCTAAAAACCGAGGGACCGGACCGAGGGATCGCATGTCCTGGGCAACCGACAGGGAAGATGGATAGCCCAAGTCTCTAGGAACCCTAGGGATGTAGCTTCGATCTGATGAGGGTACGACTGGACCCGCCGCAGTGTCGAACACAACACCGTACCCTGAGGTTTGGAAGGGGAAGGATCCCTAGGGTAGGGGAAGGATCGCCTTTTTGAGGCGAAGATGGCCATCCACTTCCATGGAACCATAAGCGACTTGATGAGGGTACGAAGTCATCGATTACCATCGATCACGATGATCTATAAACCCAACTGCAATGGACGTCAATACCCCCATCTATCCGTTTTTGTAATTACTAATTATACGATAATTAAGATCGAACTGTATGACGTGTGAGTCGTGGATCCACCACCCACCTCTCGGCGTGGCCTCATACCCCAGCGCAATGAAGGGCTGTGCTGCCCATGCCGCTTTTCCGGGTTGACAGCCTGAGCACCAAATCATCCGAGAAACCGTGAGGAAATACGTGATCATCAACTTCATCCCGAAAAGAATGCACATCGTGAGTCAACAGGGTCGCGTGGGCACCCAGGTCAGACCCGGGCTACCCCTATTTGCTCCAGTGGGACCAAGGGGTCTTTCCACCGGGGGACCCTTGCTTTCACCGAACATGAACAGAATAAATACCGTGCTCCCGGTCCACCTAGCAGGGTCAGTTCCAGGTTCCGGTCCACCAAAATGCGCCCAATCCCCCTCGAAATCATCTGCTCAGTGCGTCCGTCCGAGGCCCGAGCTCATCACCACCGAGGCCTGGTCCTTCAAAACCTCAGTCCAGCCCGGTCTGGGCCGATGAGATTCACCGATGGTCTGGTGCACCGAGCCAACCGGGCCAGTTCGCAAGGAAGAGTTAAACCATGAGGGAATATGAGGGAATACTTATGTTCGCCGGACCCAGGCTATCTCTGTCAATTTTGAAAAACCATCAGAGATAGCCTACTGTAAGTGGTTTACATAAGGGAATTCGAGTGAAGGGAAGTTGATATGTAAAGAATCCTAGCATCCTATCTATGGATTTGTTGTTCCAATTCATACTCAAAGAGCTTGAAAAAGGTTTGTTTCAACATGTTTCAACTGACATGGATACCACGGTGACTCGGGACACGCTTCCCCATGCCAGCGATTCAGTCAGGTCGGACCAAATACCGATCCACCCGATTCGGAGTCCGCGGCAAGATCATCACCTAACCCTCATGGTCCGGAATAGAACCAATGGGAGCTCAACAGCGAACACCATGACGAACAGCCATGGTGTTGCTCTAACTCGTACCATTTGCACCAGTGGAAGCTGTGGCAACCTGCAGATCTTTGTGGCATGTTTGCTCATTCCAGCAACTTTGCTTATAAACAGGAATAGTACCTGAACAAAAAATCAGGCAATGCTGACTATGCTAAATATGGTGAATACCATGAACACTGATGAATTCCCAGGGCTGCGAGTGGAGCGCTGACAACTAACTACTGGAAACCATGTCTGATGCACAGTTCCAAGACTTCGTGACTTTGATGGTCTTTGCCTGCATGGAGTGATCTGTTCTTTTGACCGATCCATGAAGTGTTGAACATGAAAACACCATCCCTGGGGTGGAACAAACAACACCAACAATAAAGTTACATATGCTGTAACACTATGTGGTATCAAAACCTTTAAACAAAAACACATTACATGGTCCAAATGCAACTTGGGACCTTTCCCTGGTGCTACTTTGGATACTACACTCCTTGTCGTATTTCTTGCACATCCAAGTTGCATCAGGCAGACACTCCGCCAGCTGGCGGTACGCGCCCAGGCCGTCCTCCAGCAAGGAGACGGCAGTGATGGCGTGGGTATGTTGGTACTGAAACGGAGCAGTTGCCTTGTTTGGAGTCAACAGTCAAGTTGATGTTAAAGCTGAAATAGATGTCAAAGTTCACCAAAAACCCATGGCAAGACGGCCTGCCAACAAAAATTATTCTTCAATATTCTGCAAGTGTGATTGACTCAAAATTCACCTAGAACATCTAGAACTGCGGGTCAATGCCACCCAACCACAGGACTTTGAAGCCGCCGCCATGCCACGCCACCTTAGCCGCTTTGCCCTTAAGATGCTCGTCCCTTAGGGGCTCCAGTCCATCCAGAAGCTACGACCACTACCACCAAAACCACCCACCGTCACCTCAGGGAGCTACCGACCCACCGAGCCACTCGACCCACCGAGCCGCTCGGAGCCCAACGGCGCCCAACGGAGCCCAACGGCAGATGGGACACCGGGCCTCTCCGGCGGCGAAGGCTTTCACCGATTGGCTCTGCAGCTCCCGGGCCTCGCAGCCGAGAGGAAGTAGATGCAAGGTGCCGGTGTTCTTCAGACGCTGGAAGAGCTGAAGAAAAGTCAGCTAAACTAGACATCTTGGATTGAAAGAACGGACATGTGACATACTAACGGACATATATAATTTGGATTAATTTGGCATATCTGCAAATGAGTTTTGTGGAAATTCAATTGTGTTATTTTTGTTGTTTCTCACTCTCTCTCCCTCTCTCTCGCTATCACTACTATGGATCAAAAGTCAAGTGTTTCAAAGCGACTACCCTTCAAGGTGCGTGCAAGTCTATGTCTGGCCCATACCCGTGTACATACGGATACTATGGGTTGGGTACCCATGCCCTGATCCAGATTGTCCTGATCCATCCCAATCAAACAAAGACACTCCAGGCCTGTATCCTTGCGGAATGGACTAACCTGGACCATGGATTCCAAAAAGATATGCGTCACACTCGGTCACACCCATTTGGGCTCCAAAAATGCAGCTCGTTTCAGCCTTGATAGCTGACTCCCAAAACCGGTTGGATACCATGGGAAACATGTAGGGTGAACCAACCGTTAATCCATGTGAAACCTGTTGAGTTGGGTGCTCCCCAAAAAAAATCACTGATCCGCTGTTACCGGGTACGTATGGATAGGCAAGACAATTTTGGCTGAACTGTTCCTACTCTTTCATGCTCAAAACGATCCCATCTATGGCCCCCTCAGGTATCGCTGAGGGTTCGCGCATAGCCCACGTGAGACATCAACCTCTCGGGCAGGTACCTGAACTCAACGCTGTGATTTTCAAAACGAAGCCTAAAAGAAGCAAAGAGAGTCCAAATCCTAGATTGAGAAATCTTGCTCTAGTGGAGAAAACGAGTAACAAAACAAAAAACATATGACATCATTCATTTCTCGACAACAAAACACATCAACCTTAAAAATACAGCATCCGCAGCGGCAGCACGGTGGGTTGGACACGGCCAAGTCGAAACCTGGCGGGTTTCGGCATCAAAGCATTATAAGATCCATATATTAGCTACACCTGGAAGAGACCCACATTGAACCTGAAAAGGTCCATTTCCAGGTTCGAATCTTCCCGGGTGTATCAACACAGAAATACGCTGAAATACAGTGGCATGTATAACTTGTTCATACTTGTTCTGTGATTCTTTCCTGGAAACAGGTCTAACACCCCATGCCATGTTTGGTTAGCGTTTCAAGTTTCTCTCGGATAGTTCGGTCATATCATGCCATATCAGAGATGTGTTTTCATAGACGGTTGCTTCTTTATAAAGATCCTTCCTCATATGTTAAAAGTAGCCCTTGGGCCACGTTCTCAGCCCTCTGACAGACATGCCCGGTCACTGTTCACCCATACTGCTTCCGATCACTTTTCACATAAAAAGAATAATGTGTGCCAACGAAGACAGTTGATTGTAATTTGATTGTACTATATAGTCTACAACTCTCAACTCTGTTGTGAAATGTTGTTAATATGATTGTCCATTTTATCCAATACTCCAGTGCTATACGTATACTCTCCCTGTCATGCTTCGGACTCATCTGAGAGCAGGACGATCCAACTTACTCACACATGGATGAAAACATCTTGTACTCCCCCATCCCCACCGAAAGGCCTCAAAATGCGCAAAACGAAATACAAAAGAACACACAACAAAACAGTGGCACGAACCTGCCGAACCCGACCCTAGCAGCGCTTTCCCAACCCGCAGAACCGGGTCGAGTCACCCCGCCATCGTCGTCGACGTCGCGGTCGGGTCGAGTTGAGTCTCTCCTGCGTCGTCGACGACGTCGCGCAACTCGTCGAAGCGCATCTGGTGCACCTGCCGAAGCGCTGATCTGTCTACGCCGCCGGATCAATGGTGTCGGACCCGTTTTGGTGGTCGAAGTGGAGTAGGCGGAGGCGGAGACGTACTATGACGTCAATGTGAGGGCAGGACGGTGCGGGTAAATAAGCAAACTGTTTGTGACAGCCGGTTAGATGCCCCCTCCGAAAACTATGTTGAAATGATCTGAGGAGAATGGTATGCATCAATGGATCACAGGGTGGTAGAACTTCATAGAATCCAATACATCAATTGTTCAGATTGAACTCCTCCACCACAAAAAAAATAAAAATTGCCCATTCGAACACGATGCCATCCGCGCATTGCGGTTTCTCGATCCCCGGCCTTCGCGCGCTCCTCCAAGCCCAAGGCCTGCTTGTGAAGCAGGGGATGGGGTGGAACCGGAACCATGTCTGGGGTCAAGATGAGATCTTTTGCATTGCATGTGCAAACTAGTTGACTCTTGACAGTGTTGCCTTCTATGTTTAGTCCAATTCGCCCTAAGAACATCCTTGTTCACGGAGCAGATCAATACCTCTGAACGTGAAACTCTGAAGGGTATCCCCGAAAAGCATGCAACCATGCAACCAGTTTTCCAGAAGCAGGACCTATAGGTCGCCTAGCTAGGTCGTCCTTGGGTCTTGAAGCAAAGGGTCGTCCTTGGAGGAAAAGCGACGACGAGTCGTGACAAGTCGTCCCGTCCTGTGCATTCTGTCGGGCGCACGCCACCGCGTTCACATCCTGGTCAATGGCCACCACTGTGGCATGTGGCAGCCGCCTGGCATCGGCGCCGCTGGCATGTGTGGAGGTCTTAGGAGGGTCGCGCTGACTGGCTCTGAGTGGAGAATCATTGGTTTTGGGTTATATAGTTGTTCCAAGCACATAGGAAACAACTGGTGGAGTTGTGCAAACAAAACCCAGACAAGTCCCCGGTCCCTCACACCACCAAACATGGACACACATGGCCTAATCACATCTATTGATTGCTTTTTTTTAAAACTTAGTTTGACCGCCACCCAAGTCCAGCATGATGAATTACTGTAGAAGCTGTAGAACCATTCAGCAATCATATGCAATCATTAAGTTCAATGGTTTGAGCTTCACACCTTCTCAGCCACAGAAACCAGATTCACTTGCACTCCAACAAACCACCTTCAGCGCCCTCACGACTTCTGTAGATACCAATCAACCTTCAGCACTAGATCTACAGAAGAAGTCGACCTCTCTACCACTGACCTGGCAGCAATTGGCTGAACAAACGCGCCATCATGTGCAGCTTCCCGTAACTTGGGTGTGGGTCTTTCAACCATGTGATACGGATAATCCCTGTTTTTTAGAACAGGATAAGAACAGGAATAGATATATCGATCACCGGAGAGGTCCCCAGGATGAGTTCCGGGCTGGTTTTGGAGGTGTCGGAGGGCCTGAGGAGGGCCAAGGCGATGCAGCCGCTGCCTCCGTCCGGCACCGTCCGGCGCGGTGAAAAAGCCGCAACGAGCGTGGACTTCGCCGGAAAGCAACGGCGGCGGGTGGGGCGGGTGGCGACATGTTCATCATGAGGGGAAGGAGTCCCGGACATGTATGGTATAGTAGCCAATGGTTGGAAAATGAAGGGTTCCATTGGTAGGGACAATCTCCAAAAAGGTTTGGAAGGAAGGTCCGGTAAATATAGTCCCGTTTTGAAACCTTTCGATCTGGTCAGACGGTCAGCCCCTTTACAATTCTTCGACCCTTCTTTGGAGCTTGCGCAGAAAGAACGGGACTTGTGTTGCTTCTGTAGGCCTTCAAAGAAGAACGTTCCTACATCGGAATTCGCTCAGAACATTCGCTCGGTGCCTGTGCCGCAATCAAGCAGTCGTGTTGCTCCTTGCCACGCGAAACTGTAGGAGAGTATGGACGTGACGTAGCAGCCCATCAAAGTTAAGAAAAACAATCTATTTGTGTCCTACAAGTTCCTACAACTTCTTTGTGTCCCAAATGTGGAAAAACACATCATGATAGACATGTCAGCCAATTTGGTATGTTGGACGTTGTCGGGTCTTGATTATGGATCTAGATGTACAAGGTGTTGACATGTGTTGAAAGTGACCCTCAAAGGCTGTAACAAAGGGGCCGTTTGAACGGCTTCAACTTGATGAAAGGACAACTCACTTCGACATCACCTTCTACTTGGCCACTTTGAAACTGGACGCAGCTTCTTCACGTTTCAAGTGGATAATCTTCTTGTCCGGTCAGAAGGGTCTTCACCAACTCCTAGGTCCTATATAGATGGTGGAATTTGTCAAACTTGCGTTTGTGCGCAGAAGGATCAATGCATCTCCACTCATGTCCTGGAAAGAAAGCATTCTCTCTACCGCCCAAACAATCCTTGCTTCGGATGCCAAGCTAAATCCAAATAAATCCAATTCTCCGGACATGGTCATACAACAACGCTACATCAAGGACTTAAGAAGGTCAAAAACAAACAGGTCTTACTGGGTCAACCTGGACGTACGTTCGGGATATAGTCATCACACCGTCACCCACCGGGTCGACACCACCGCGTCACCCACCGCACCTGTCGCCTGGGCAAGCTCATGCCCAGCCTCCACGCTGGGCAACGCCGAGCGTCGGGGTACGAAGACGCCTGAGGTCGACGACGACGACGTAGTAAACCCGAATGAACCGAACGTTTGGGAGGACGGGGCGGAACTGTATAGGACCTGAAAGAGAGGATCGATTTACGGATGTTCCAAGATGTCAAGGGCCTTGTGGAACACAGGGGAGGTCCTTCTTTCTTTCCCTTCACGAGGCTCTCCTGAGGTTTGTACTCCATCTATACTAACTCTCTTTTGGGGTTACGAGACTATAGACTCGAACTGGATGGCTCAAACCGTTTGTTGAGGCTCAATAGCGCCGCTTGGTGGTCTTTGTACGTGCCAGACCTTAGCAATACAGCCACATGTCTCTGACAAGCTAGTGGTATGGCCCAGGAAGATCCATGACCAGAAGGTTTGCGAAGAGTACGAGGAGGTTCTTCCAACAAGCACGTACAATGGCGCCACGAAAAGGCGTACGGAAGGCCGAAGTGTGGCCTTAGTACATGGGGATGCAAGGATGCTTCCCCTCGGCAAGTTGAGACAGGTTCATCAAGTCTATAGACTTTCCACTTGCATTTGGTTGCTCTTCTATTGGATTCATGGAAGTGGTTGGGTCTTATTTGGACACAACTCTGTGCACTGCTCGTCATCAGACTTTTATTGGGTGAGCGTCGAATGACACTGCATCGACATCGTCTCTTTTCTGCACGAACTTCGGCGCAGCTGCGAGGGGAGGCCCTTCCTCGGGGCAAGGCAAGCGGTTCTGGTCCCGTCTGGGGATGTGTCTTTTGTGCTTTGTAATTTGTTTTAAGTCCCATAAGGGGTGCTATCCATGGAGGTTAGGGGTGCCCTCGTCACATCCACTCACTGGATGGGACTAAACACCATCCATTGCATTTGTGACTCCATGTGACTCCTGGTCTATAACTTGTGCGTGTTCTTTTTGGGGGGGGCGAAGGTGGACCTATGAGATGTTCAGTAACCAAATCCCAGCTTTCGGAAGTCTTGGGAGGTTGGAGTCTTGCGATTGAATGATACTCTCCTCTCCCCAAAATTGTGACTACAATGTTCGGAAAATGGTACTCCTTTCGGGGCCATTTTCCTATCCTCTTCCACCATGACAACGGATGTGTAGCGGATCTCCATTTGGTTGGTGCCTCCCTGAAAAAGTGTCGGCAAGTGTCTTTTTAGGGCACATGACCTGGCGCAGTCTGAGACCACACTACCAAAAGAAAAGGAAGGAAATGCAAGAATGCAGAACTTGTCATAGATTCCTTTTCTGGAATGAACCTATAAAACACTAATACACCCTGAAGAAAACAACATGTCTTCAATCCCTGCCATCTAAGTGCCGTGCAATCTCTGAGCTCCGGCAGACACACACACACACACACACATCCAAACCCCCAAGCGCTAAGACTCAATGCCTGCAAAGATCAACAGTCAACAATGCCCTGGCAGTTCTTCCGTGGTCCACATCGAACTCAGTCCTGAAACGTCCTCAGAGCTCCACCAAAAAAAACCTTGAAAAACACCTATATGCCTACTAATCCCACACGATTTCCTCTACTCAGACTTAAAGATCTTTCAGGGTCACCGAGAGCCACCGCTCCAACGGGACACCCCTGCCACCGAGGTCGTTTCGTGCCCCGAGCTGCCGGGGTGTCTGAAGTTCTCGGCCTCGACCGGTCTGTGTGCGTCTCCTGCACAGACCCGGTTTCCTCGTGGGGCGACCAGGTCTCCTTACACATGGAATTCACTTCACCACGTGGAGTTTGCGATCAACAAACATCATATTCCAATTTCCATGTTTAATTAACTTAGCATAAGTATAAGGGTATACCTACTACTAAGACCTTCCGTTCGCCCGGTGGTTTTTGAACACTCCGGAATTCACCGGTTTACGAGGCTAGTCCACCTCCAACGGGTTCCGTCCTGGTGCATGAAGCTGCCGTCGATGAACATATATTATTCACCAAAAGGATTCCAAACATGGATTCGATCCGTAAAACCAGGACGTTTGATCCGTTGGCGTGTTCGGGCGAAGGACTTTTGAGTCGGGAAAAAAACACCTGTGGTGAACGCAACTCCGCTCTTCTCCGAGCTTAGAGGAGAATCTCGTTTGGATTTGTAGTGGCCGAAGGGTATGATTTTCTCTTAGGGACACCAAGTTTGTGACAAGGCATGTCTTTTAATGGCATGGTTATTACAGTTGTTATATGTACATGTATATATATTCCAACCAACAAAAAAAATACCGTGGCTCCTTAGTATATCTCTTGCTTGTCCAATCAGAAGGAATACAATTAGTGGGGGATAAATTGAAGAAGCAGCCTTGCATCTTGACTGGACATGTTTCCAACCACGCAGAGAAACCCGTTGGTCGTGCCATGTCTGCATTTTCTTGCTCTAAACAGCATGCGCTCCTGCGTCAACTTGCCAAACACCAGGCCCCAGGCTTGCCACAGCTTTTGCCCTGCACAACACATGTGATTGTCGTTTTTACGGCATGCAGTCTTTGCAAATCTTGCAAACCTCTTCCTCCTTGCAAGTGTTGTTATTCTTTTTCAAGATCAAGTGATCACAACTCATTTCTGTGGTCACATCGGATATCTTGCCGTGTTGTGCCAAACAGCTGCTTTCACTGCTTGACATGGCGAGGCGGAATGGCCCTGGAAGACCCATGGTGCGTGCAGACGAACAAAGCAATTCACTTTCCTCCATATACATCATATATACAGATATCGAGAGTGATCCTCCCCGAATCGGGGCACGACGCTTCCACCACGAAGCACCGTCGTTTGCGTAAAAACGCCACTCGAAACGACGCTGTCAGTGACGCCTATGTGGTCAAGTCATGAGTCTCTGCCTGGTCGGCGATCCCATGAATGATGATCTCACGTGGGGGGGTGGTGATGAGGTGAAAGAACTGGAGATCAAATCATTGATCCAAAAGAAAGCATGAAGTTTGTCAAGAAAACTGCAGATTTGGTATGAAGAGTGCCACAGAGTCGAGAACATCATATATTCTCTGTTGGTTGAAAGGCCATTTGCAGCTGGGATGAAACGCAGCATGCCCGTTCATATTTATGCGGTTTGAGATCTCGTCTCAAAAAACTGCGGTGAACCTCTTCTGATCACTGAGAACTTGCCAAGTGCTGCGTCAAGTGTCAACTACTTTATAGTTTCAATCTTCAAATTAACATATCGAATCAAACAAACTGACATATCTCTCGCACCCATGTAGTATCATTGATCCGAACCCATCCATTGCACCTTTTATTCGTTTGTATGTTCTAGTTACACTCTGGCTCTGGTATACATTCTTTCAATATCTTTTACTTTTGGTTCTTGTACACTCCGTGGCTTGTACCTGTAACCTTGTCCAACTGGGTCCGCTAGTTGTAATATGTTGTATCCAGGATTCTGCCCCACTTCAAACCATATGCCCCGGTCAACTGTTGACTCTGTCAATCCTCAGCATGATATCATATGCATTTGTGTGTTCACCTAAACAGCCACTGCGTCAACCACTCTCAACATTAAACAATGTACATAATGTTCATGATTCCTGGTCAATGCTCATAGTTCCAGACACTCACAACTCTTTCCACCAGCTTATTTTCAGGAAAACATACATCATCACATCACTCAACTGCATGGAATATCATGGCATGATCATTTGGCACATGTGTTTTTCACTTTCTTACTCCTTCTAACATCCTTCTCACACCACAAGCTGACTGCATGACTCCCCCCCTTAGGCACCCAACCTTCGCGCTGCTCCGCAGCCGGCGTCGCTGCCGTGAACTGCTCCAGCGCCCGCAGCGCCCAGCGCTGCAGCAGCTCGGTGGTCTTCGTCGCGGTCGCCGTCGGCAGGATCTCCTGGGGCGCTCCGGCACAGCGGCGCCTCAGCGGCGAGGCCCCCCGGGTTTCCGCGAGCGCTGGCGCTGGCGCGGCCGGCGAGGTGGGCAAGGCGGCGAGGCCAGTGATGTGGTCGAAGGACAACGACGAGGCTATGCGACTTGATTGGAGAAAAACAAGGCTCGATATACTCAAGAAGAAGACCCTCCTTGGCCCAAGTGCCACCGAACATGCTGGTGTATGGATGGATGTCAAGTTATGATGCACACAAGTGATTGACAACAGAACCTAACTTAAGCGCACTACTTTTGATATGTCCAAACAGTTTGCTTCGAGGCATTGACTTGGCTGGCCAAAGACTGGTGGAGCAGGTTGACTGAAATGGCTATGAACAAATATTTGTATGATGGTACTGTGATTCACTATCACAGCGACCCACATCACCATTGTGGCACCCTGGAAACAAAGTCAATGGATGAGGCGTAGGTGTTGTTGACCAGTCTGAGACCTCACAAAGACCTCTGGGAAAAGCAAACAAGGACTGAACATAGACTAAATTCAAAAACTCATCCACGGCTAACCCTCCACGTCACAACTGATGAGACCCATCTCAGCAACAAAAAAGGGTTTGTGGTTCAAGGATAACATATAAACAGTGGGACATGCGGATTCAAGGATACACAATCAAGGCGCTGTGCGACCATGCAACAAAGACTTGGTGGACGTTTTTGGAGAGTCTTGAGTTCCATGCGACAGGCATGGGGAGCTGATGGCGCGGGTCGGCTCGTATTGACAATCCTTGTACTGACGAGCAATGCTTCTCAGAAGCCTTGAACACGGCGTCTCACTACACAGTCACTGAAACTCAGTCAAACACCATGCTGCCATGAATATGCCTTGTTCTTCGTTCTCAAATCATCAAATCCCGACCATCACCTTTCTGTCGGAAGAGAAAAAGACTTCCGAACTCCCGGGCCCATCTCTCCAGGGCTCCAGGACTCCGCTTCGCCCATCCCATCTCTTGCAAAGCAACAAGGCAGCAGTGACGATGTCCTTATGATCGAAGCTCCAGGAAGCCTCGGCCAATTTGCTCAGAGGCTCAAAGTGGGCGGTCTGCGCATCATCGCCTGCCTGTCGGAGAAAATCGGTCAATGGTCGATCGGTCTTCGCTTCGAGGAGTACCCGACACAGGGTTGCGCCATGCAAACAGCGGTGGGTCAACACAGTATGTTTAAAGAACTTATTTGTGAAACCAATCAACAGTAGCTCAGATCGATGTTTCTATATCCCAAACGCGACGAATGGGACTGCCATAGGACTGCCGATCAGTTGGGGTGGTGCCAGGGGGGTCAATGTAGGCATATATTCCATACTATGGAGCCTATGTTATGGGTATATGCTATTAGTAATTTACGTGTATATCCCTGTTATACCTAACTATATAGATTCTTCATAGCAAAGTCGCGGTCACTCCGCCGTAGACTATACTAGGTCATCCAGTTGATGAGAAACGGCGCGCGCTGTTCGCCTCGCAGTTGCGGTGCTCGGCCATGGCCAGGAAGGCCGTGGTGCTCACGGGGCCGCGCGGGTCGCGGCCGGCGGCGTCCCAAACGCCCAGCGAGACCAAGTTCAGGTCGGTGACGCCGGTTTCCTGCGGTTGCGGTGCTCGGGCGGTTCGGGTTCACGGACTCTTGGGGGTTCACAGTCCGTGAAGTATGTCCTGGAAGGAAGAATATTGTATGTATGTGTGATGTATATATATATATAGCATTACAAAGCTATATGTTGAAACATGATTGAAAGAGGGGGAGTTGCAAGTTGTAACGTTCTTTCGACGCAATTTCTTTGAGGATTCCAAGCCCAAACACTACATGGGACTGGCATGTTCACATAAATTGGGGTGGTTTGAGAGGTCAATGTAAAACATGACCATTTAAGACTATACCTATAGTAACAAATTCCGCTCTCTTTGATTGAAACAAAAAGGAGGGCTTGTGCCATGTTCCAAAACAATAAAACGTATTGTTTGTTCAAGTTCTTTAAACTATTTTTTGTAGGTCACTCTATATCCCAGACACTCCATGGGACTGCCATATATGCCTACATTGACCCCCTGGCACCACCCCAGCTATTAGTACATGATCGTTTTTTGTCTTTTCCCATTCAGTACTCATCACATGAGGCCTTTTCTGTCCCAAGTACTCATGATGTATTCCTTTCCCAAGTACTAGTGTGGCCCATGAGGCCTCTGGGTCCAACGTCATGCGGACCCAAAGGCCTCCGGTGCTCCTCTTCCAGCTCTCGCCTCGCAGCATCGATGGCCACTTCGCCCCGCTCCACGAAGCCGCCGGGGAGAGCCAGAGAGCCGCGGAAGGGCGGGTTCTTTCGGGTGATGGTGAGCAACCTGAAGAGGTCGAATTCGCTCATGTATTGGATGCTTAGCCAGGCAGATGTTATGATGTTGGATGTTAAGATCTTCTAATATGTGTTCGTTCGACAATGTGTGATATATGTTTTAAATATATGGAGGATGAGGGTTGGGTAGGATTGGGATGATGGCGGGCAACCTGAGAAGTTCACATCGCGGCTAAAAGGGATGGCGCCGCCCCCAATCTGTGTGCGGGGCAACATGGTCTTCCAGGGGGCCGAATATCTTACCCTAGGGCTCCAAGTACCTCCTCAGAAGGCATTTGGACCTTCCAAACCTACCCCAAACACCTTCGAAACGAAGGTACTTGGAGCCCTAGGGTTAGTGTCATTGCATGTGTCAAAGCATATGGTCATGTTGGGTGGGGAGCTGACCTCCCCAGCCGTTGAAAAGAACCGGTGAACCCAACTCCACTCGTTGACCGTGGGCCGTGGGGTGTTGGAGGGTGGGGGGCGTGGGGGCCGGGCTTGGGAGACCTGGGCTCGGCTCGGCTTGAACGCTACACACAGTCAAGCAGGCTTCATGTTGGTCTTGAGCACTGATGCCATTCAAACATGGCAAGGGGAACAACACCTGAAGGAAAAAAACACAGCCCTTTCGCTTTTAAAAGGTATAGATGGTGTATATATATATATATCACATATATAGCAAGATTATAATGTGTATATCATATAGCACAAAGTGCATCCTCAGTACCACCCCAGACACCACTTCTCAGAAGGTATGACTGGAGCCCTCAGAAGGGTGTAAGATTGCATGTACTCAACGAAGGCTACACGGTTTTGCATGCACATCCCATCCCTGCAAGCCAGTTAGCTGTGTAGATGTTGTTCTTTTTTGACAGCAGTTTGGCAGACAATGTTTGGCCTCAACGCAATCAGGCAATCTGTGTAATTAAAGCCATCTTGAGCAACTGATCTGGATAAATTCTAAGCAAACTTGGTAATTGTTCTTTTGGCCTTTTGTAAAGATGGGTATGTCTCTGCGTCGATGCCAAGTAAATTCCCAGCAACTGCGACCCAAAGCATACTGGGATGCGACTTGCTTGTCTTGGCTTTTGACCCACCATGGACCTCGTTTGTCCAGACCTGTGTCGATCTCGACTTTTGTACCTGGACCCTCCAAGGTATTCTAGAATTCCGAGAAAATGGTACATGACCAAATAAAAACAAAAACAATTAGTTTACTATATTTTGTATGCTCATTCTCCTGAACTGAGAGACTCCAGGTATATCTATTCACAAGAGATTTCCCAGAGTCTCAGTGTCGGTCCCATTGGCTTTGGAACTATAGACTAGAGGTGTGATTCTCACCGTTGCCAATCCTGAAGCAGCCGGAGCGGCAAATAACGGATTGAGACAACCTGGTTGACCACTCATCGTCTCCGCGAAAAACCAAGAACATCGACCATCGACTGGTCCAAAGGGCTCCAGCTCCTCGCCCATGAAGAAGACCAAAATGTCCGCGGTGAAGCGCATGGCCCGCAGCATGAGGTGAAGCGCGGTGTCCCGATCAGGCGTTTTTTCACCGACGCGACGCGAAAAAGCGAGGACCAACTGAATGTCTTGGGCCCCAAAAACAGCAGGACCACAGAAGTAGGGTCAGACGGGTCCGGGTCCAAAGGGGCGATGCTTTGACGAAATATGCATGCTTCCATCAAGATGCTTCCGCCACAGGTTCATGGAACTTAGAGTTCCTGGAACTTCTTCATATGCTTCTTGGAAGCTTCAGTTCCCATGGATGATGAACTTCTTCATAGCCGTCCAGGATGATTCTTTCACATCCGTCCAGGCTCATGGGTGAGATGGAATGGTGACGGTTTTTCATGGAGGGCAGAGTGCTAAAAAACGGAGGAAGTCGGGGTGCCGGACAGTACAGTTACATCCACTCACTATTTTAGGGACTCAACACCACCTCCTTACAATGGGTGGTCATCAGCATGCACCGCACCATGTACCACCGCGGCCGCACCATGCTACGGGCCGCACCTTTGCACATCGAAAGCGGTGAGAACAAATTGGTTCTGTTGTTTACTCCTCGTCCTTTCAAAGTCAGCTCAAATCCCATGGTTTTCGCGGTCCTGTGAACAGTGAATTCTACTTTTTTTTGGTCTGTCCAATATACCCGGTTGTACTGGGACCTAGGGTCAGTATGCTTTTTTTTGGGGGGGGCTGACCCTTGCTCAGCCCCCTATATATTCGACGTAGTTGGTTCTTGGTAGGCTCTTTTTCTGTGCTTTCGGCTCCAATCCCATGGTTTGAAGCGGATCGTTCGCCAATCCCCGTAATACGTAAAGATGAAGAGGGGACCTTCGCTGACCCGGCGGAGAACAAAAATCGAACCCTGCTCAAATCCATGGTCTGCACGGATCTTTCGAAGAGCCCTATATACTATCAGATGAAGAGGGGATTGATGTTCGAAAAAAGCCGGGACATGTCCAACCCTGCTCCAATTGAGAAAAGCCTGGTCCGCACCTCTCCCCTCACCCTCCCCCGCCGCCTGGCGGCACCTGTAGTGCCAAGCCATCGAAGTCTACGTGCTGCGCTTGGTGCTCGGTACGTCCGGACCAGGCCGCGTCCTGGCGGGTCCGGGTGGTTCGTTGGGTTTGGATTCGGTGCGCTAGGCTGTGGAAGGGCTTTCCGGCTGTGGACACCATGCCCTCTAGGGCATGGGACCCATCGGGACGTGTCCGCAATGAGATGAGGTTCAACCAGGAACGGGAAGAAACAAAGATTTAAAACAAACATCTTCCCCATGAGGAGTTTTGGGGGATTCATCCTTAGGAAGCCACGGGACAACTGCAGCCCAAACCGCCCAGTTCACCGGCAGTTCTCGCGTCGAAATCCCTGAGGATGGAGTTCTGGTGACAACTCCGGAAGCTAAATGAGTGTGTAGCTGAAATAGGGAGACCAACCCCCGACAGTCTGGCCCTAGCACTCTGTCTACTACCCAGGCAGGGCCAGGAATGAAGTCTCCCGGACTTAACAAATACATACATGCCCACATCCTACATCTTTCGTGAAAACGACCTGTCTGGGACGGGCATGCATACAGGCATGCATACTGTATACTATCATCATATTGAACAATCCCCATTAAATATATAGGGGGGAGGGGTGGTGACAGTCATATTTAATATCATACTATTTTCCCTACATTCACCTCGTACATCGCCGATCCCATATGTAGAAATATATAATCCCAAATGGAATGTCAGAGATGAGTCATTAAGACAGGAGTTTCTACCTGGCTCAAGACCTGAAATTGGTCTAAATAATCCATGTTGCTATCTGTACCAAGACTACCAAGAACATCAAATTCACGATGTTAAATCAGATTATGTAACCATATGTACCCGTTTACGTCAAGGCACCGGTCATCTGGTCCGCACGTCCGGTTCATCCGGTCGTCCGGTTCAGTGCACGGGACCGCGGGGTGCGGGGTCTAGTGATCCCAGTCTTCTGAATTGGTGATATATCAAAGGACCAGGAGGGTCGGCGTGACACATGGATGGTTGGAAAAAAAACGTATTTGATGCTCGTGCGTTTAGATGAACGTTTATACATTGATTGGTGGGTATACCAGACTGCCACGCAGCGGGACTGGCCTTGTTGCCCAGTCTCCGCTGCAAGGCCTGGTGATCCTTCTGCATTAGCCGCTGAAAGCTCGGAGGCGGTGGCAGCCGCGCGTGCAAGTTGCCCAGCCTCGTGTTTTGTCTATTTAGGTTGAGGCATGTTGAGGCAAAGAGGTCGGGAGGTATACAGTATAGGAGGTATACAGTAGGATTTTTCGATTAAAGATTGCCCAATGAGCTGAGAAAGTCAGTTGAAGATGTGGTGAACCGAGCAGTCTAAATGACCGTTTTGATCATTGATCCGTTTTGACATTCCATAAAGATGTGGTCCAGTCTTTGGACTCGCCGCCTGTGAGGCCCCGGTTTGGACGCGGCCGGCCTTTTTTTCTCCACGCAGCACTGACGTGAAGTGCATGGTTCCGCTGGACCAAGAGGTTTGGTAAAGGAATGTAAAAACAAAAAATCCAGGAACCATGTAAAGGTAAAGGAATTGGATTACATGTATATGGCAAAGGTTTGGTGGGTAAAGGAATGTAAAAAAGGAGTCACATGGAGTTGGGTGGTGTGGTGTGGCTCGTCGCATCCAGCCGTGGATGTGACAGCCGGGCATAACCTCCATGGATAGCACCCCGACATCCTGGATAAAGCCGTTGTCCTGGACCAAGGGACCTGGTGGTGGATCTAAGTTCCAGGTCTGGTGGTTGACCGACGAAGGACCTTGTTTCTCAACTTCTTGTGACATCTCGTGGTGGCTCAGTGGGTGGGGACTCTATCACCAGAATTCACTTCGGTATCAGTTTTCACTATTCCAACAGTATCAAGTGAATTACAGTGAATATACACTATTGATAAGTTTGTTGGAATAGCTAGTGAATATAGAATTCGCAGACATTACAGACTTCACTATTCCAACAGAATTCATCTTCCCAAATCGTCCTGGCAATACAAATCATGCAGGGTGGCAATGCTTGTCAATTCCTCTGCGAAGCCCGGGTGTCCCCGAGAACATCTTTGGGAGTTTCCATACTTTTCAATCTTTCCATCCACCCTCAGAAGGTCAACAAAATCCGAAAAAGACAAACAAAAAAAAACTTAGAGTGTAGAGCCATCCCACTTAGATCTCACCTTAGACTCCTTAGATGGTCGAGTCTATCTGATTAATAAGACCTCTTGCTCCGCCGACGAAGCATGGGTCGGGCCGGCGTGACGGACCGCCTAGACTGTCAGTCTGAGAGAGGTCGCGAAGCTGAGCGAACCGTCGCAGCCTCGTGCAGTGGTTTCACAGTTCACAGTAGATGGATGTAGATGGCTGCCAAATGATCGGTGGTTTACATGGATTCCCATGTTCTAAAAGACATCTCGGGTTGGAATCGTGAAACGTGCCATCAAACAACATGAAAGCAATGTAAGAACATAGGGATTTACTGGTAGACCGACGAGTCCTCCATGTAGCACCTGGTTTCCAAAGAATTTGGAAGGCATGTGTTTCACCATGTGTCCTTGCTCTGGACTCTCCTCGTCTAGTAGAGCAGCGCTTCTTCTCCAGCACGGTTTGACGTCTCTCAGCCTCTGAGCCCTCTGACGCGCCCGCCGCGGGCGGCGCGGGCTGAAAATTCGGCGCCGAGACGGTGTCGACTGTGGCGGAGCCGAAGGAGTTGGGTCGGCTGGTTCGGAGACTAAGCCGTCAGCCTGAGAAAACCAAGAGACAAAACCCGTGTCCTAAACGCCTGAGATTGTATGAGTGGTCTTTTGTAACAATGTACAAAGAAATATGTATATATAACTATAATATATATATATGTGCAATGTAGAGGTTTGATTGACAGAACCTCAGATGAAGCTAACTGTTCAATGCAAATGGGGGCTTACTAATCAAGAGTCTACATAGACATAGATAAAAAAAATGCTATTACTAAAAATAACTGTTGAAATAAAAGGAGGTAGGAAAGCAGAAAGAGAGAGATAGAGAGAGATAGAGACATTGTTGAAAAGACACTTTGGCAGTGCCAAGGCAAAAAGACCTGTTTCAGTGCCACAAAGGATGGCCAGGATGGTGTCCGATTTCACATGGATTGACTCCCAGAATGTGAGAACCGCGGTGGTCCATACGGTTTGAGATGGTCCGGACGTTGAGGGATGTGGAAACCTGGGAGTCTAAGCTAAAAAGTGATGAAGGATGTGGGAATGTTTGAGGTTTCAGGGATGTGGGAGACCTGGTGGTCCAAAGCTAAAGGCTACAATGTATATATGGGTTGGAGATGGTGCTGAGATGTGGGAACATGGGAGTCAAATTTTAAGTTCACGGTTCATGAGACGGATGTGGGAATCTTTAAGGTTTGAGGAATGTGGGAGCCCTGGTGGTCCAATTACAGTAAGACAAAGTCAGCGCTTATGCAGAGCATCCTGCTTCTTCAGCAGGTCTCTTTGTCTTACTTGTCTTTAGACAACCCTGAAAACAATATTTTGTTCCAATCAATTTCATTAAAAGCAAGCCAGTATATATACCTGGACCCTGAAACGATGTCTTTTTTTTCCGTCTCGCCAGAAAACATGACGCAAAAACATGCAGCAAATTCGCGATAGAAAACATGACGCCAACATGACGCAGAAGTGACAAAAAACAACGCAGAAGTGACAAAAATCGACACCAAAACTGTTTGTTGTGTGGGTTTTTTGAGCTTCGCCTGAAAATTGCCCTCACCAGAAAAAAATACGTCTTTTGCGGGGTCTAGGTATATATATAATACACTCTTATATGTCATATCTATGTCATATGTCATATATATATATATATGCCATGATCTTTTTTTTGGTCTGCTTGTTAGCACATCACAAACATATCAAACACCTTTCAATCCAATCTCCACCATATGGTTCCTTCGCCGCCGGTCGGCGACACCACCGGTCGGCTCCGGAACGCTCTACCCCTCGCAGGCGCCGAAAGCGGAAAATCAGACGCCGCGAGGCATTGATGAACGGGGAATGATCGTCCAACGAGCACCAGCCTGGTAGCCGTTGCAACAAAGGGTGGTGAGCTGGTAGGCTGATTTGGATACTAATAACACAGATTAAACAAACAAAAACAAAACAAATCGAGATAAATCGAGGGATTTGGAGATGGACAAGTCTTGCACAATAGTTTGCTAACATTTGCCTAACAAATGAGAAAGCATCCAAATCCAGCATTGAACACCAATCTAAAATGCAAGAACTCTCTGTGTCTACTCTGTGTAAATAATCATGTGCAGTGTGGAAATAACAAGCAAACACCAAAACAACATGGGTGATGGAACTTCCCGTTTTGTTGGGTTCCCGTGCAAATCAATGGTCATCGGTGATGCCCAAGTACTCTTTGTACCACTTCTTCTGCTGCCTGCACCGTGTGGCGACCGGTGTCGTTCTTCTCGCCGCGTTGGGATCTTGATGTCGAAACAAGTCCTCTTAACCGTCTTAATGTGAGAGTTTAAGGCCTGGCGCCGAATGAACTGAACTAAGCCTAAGGAGTTCCTGGAACTAACTGCCGCCAGGGACTTCCTGGCGCCTGATCGGAGCGACCCGTACCATGTCTCTGCTCTGCCCTGCCCGGTTTGCGCAGCCACCGGGCCCGGTGGGGGTGTCTGAAGGGTCTGACGAGTCAACAAGACCACGTGGACGACTCGTGCAGAAACCATCTGCTAAGAGTGAAACATAAGACTGACCATAGGAATATGCTATGTCACCGTGCATGACCATAGGAATATGTTGAACCATGTTGAACCAGTGCATTGTACAGGTTAAACACACTGGTCTTCAGATCAAGTTCACCTGGCTCTGGAAGTCCAGTCGACTATTTGACGACATGATCTCACTAGTTGACCCTTTCGTCCAGGAATTTCCGGATTACTTGGGTATACTTGAGTGGTGGGACTTCTATATTTAGCCACCAGCTCGGTTGCCACCCCGAAGCGCAGCAAAAAGAAAGAACGCGCTCCACTGCCGGAGTTCCAACGCTTCAGACTAAGGCCAACGGTGCCGTCGCCTGTCGCCCTCCAAGGACATCTTCACGGCGTTGAGCGACTCCAGTTTTCCTGCAGTTGGCGAACAACGGTGCACGAACCGCGAGGAAAGGATGATGGGAGATGGCAGTTGATGGCGGACGCCCATGGCAGTTGAGTCGTTCAAGAGCCAAACATCTCTCCAAAACCCTCCCCAAACTATGCCAAACTCATGAATTCCAGCCATCAAACACCCAAATCACCCAACATTGCCACATGCCACATTCCACGTGGCCAAAACAATCATGCGGATGTGGCAAAAAACGATGGCGGAAGAGAGAAAGAAGCGCAAGCGCCCAAGCACGCGCGATGTGCGAAAACAGCGCCCCAAACCGCCATCGACGTGCGCGAGTTCGCGCCTCCTGCACCCAGCCAGCGTTCGGAGCGTGGCAGGTCCATCAATTCACCCATGCGCGCCAGCCTCCGACCCGTCGACACGGTGCGAGCGAAGCGGTGGAAGACCGTGGATGGGACGAGAGGCTGAGAGAATCGAAGAGTATGGTGCCATGGCGCGAGGCACCGAGTATGGGCCATGGCACGAAGAGGACCATGAGTATAGACCGGGTGAGGACCGGTGATGGTGGGTGAGGTAGGACCGTTTTGCGCTGGGCGCGAAGTAGGACCAGTGATGATCGCGATGGATCTGAGTCTCAGATGTCTCAGGGACTGAGGGTCGATGGCATCGTGTCACTTGTTGGTTCACGAGCGGATTCCTCCCTCGGTCCCTCGGTTCACGAGGGTCTCCCCTCGGTCCCTCGGTTGTCAACCAAGCAATAGATGAGTGTTTTTTTTTCAGACTTAAAAAAAAGGGCTTGAAACCATATCACGTGGCAATGCAATCAACTAAGGAGCTGCTTTGAAGCATCATCTGTGGTTGGGATTTAGGTTTGGAGCTTTGTAAAGTTTAAACTAATCATCATACACAGACTCAAGACATGCAAATCAACCTTATATACAAAAAAAAACTGGCAACATGACAAAGAAGCTCCAGATACGCAACCTGAATTGACTTATATCAACATATATAATAACTTAAAACAGCATCAAAAAAAACATATACCCTAGGCTTCCAAGACCATTTAAAAAATGGTTGACC